ATTAGCAATAGACTATAATCTATCTATCTATCTATCTATCTAAGCTTATTTACAACGATCGATCTATCTGTATATATATGGGCATTAGCAACTGCCTATAATCTATCTATCTATCTATCTATCTATCTATCTATCTATCTATCTATGTATGCTTATTAGCAACGACCTACAAACTGTCTGTCTGTCTATCTATCTATCTATCTATCTAAGACTATTTGGTATCTGTATATATATGGTCATTATCAATAGACTATAATCTATCAATCTATCTATCTATCTATCTATCTATCAATCTATCTAAGCCTATTTGCAATGATGTCTATCTATCTGTAAAAATATATGGTCATTAGCAATATCTATCTATCTATCTATCTAAACTTCAACGATCTGTCTAACTGTATATATATAGGCATTAGCAACTGCCTAAATCTATCTATCTATCTATGTATGCTTATTCGCAACGACCTACTATCTATCTATCTATCTATCTATCTATCTATCTATCTATCTATCTAAGACTATTTGCAACTATCTATCTGTATATATATTGTCATTATCAATAGACTATAATCTACCTATCTATCTATCTATCTAAGCTTATTTACAGCGATCGATCTATCTGTATATATATATGGGCATTAGCAACTGCCTATAATCTATCTATCTATCTATCTATCTATCTATGAATGCTTATTAGCAACGACCTACAATCTATCTATCTATCTATCTATCTATCTATCTATCTATCTATCTATCTATCTATCTATCAATCTATCTATCTATCTATCTGGTCAACGAGACTATAATCTATCTATCTATCTATCTATCTATCTATATATCTATCTATCTATCTATCTATCTATCTATCTAAGCCTATTTTCAACGATCTATCTATCTATCTATCTATCTTTCTATCTATCTAAGCCTATTTGCAACGATCTATCTGTAAAAATATATGGTCATTAACACTAGCCTGTAATCTATCTATCTATCTATCTATCTATCTATCTATCTATCTATCTATCTATCTATGCTTATTAGCAACGACCTACAATCTATCTCTATATATTCTTATTAGCAACGACCTACAATCTATCTATCTATCTATCTATCTATCTATCAAAGCATATTTGTAGCGATCTATCTGTCTGTATATATATGATCATTAGCAGTCGACTATAATCATAATAATATTTGCAACGATCTATCTGTAAATATATATGGTCATTAGCAATAGCCTGTAATCTATCTATCTATCTATCTATCTATCTATCTATCTATCTATCTATCTATCTATGTATACTTATTAGCAACGACCTACTATCTATCTATCTATCTATCTATCTATCTATCTATCTATCTATCTATCTATCTAAGCCTATTTTCAACGATCTATCTATCTGAATATATATGGTCATTAGCAATAGACTATAATCTATCTATCTATCTATCTATCTAAGCTTATTTACAACGATCGATCTATCTGTATATATATGGGCATTAGCAACTGCCTATAATCTATCTATCTGTCTATCTATCTATCTATCTATCTATCTATGTATGCTTATTAGCAACGACCTACAATCTGTCTGTCTGTCTATCTATCTATCTATCTAAGACTATTTGCAACTATCTATCTGTATATATATGGTCATTATCAATAGACTATAATCTATCTATCTATCTATCTATCTATCTATCTATCTATCTATCTATCTATCTATCTAAGCCTATTTGCAATGATGTATCTATCTATCTGTAAAAATATATGGTCATTAGCAATAGCCTGCAATCTATCTATCTATCTATCTATCTATCTATCTATCTATCTATCTAAGCTTATTTACAACGATCGATCTAACTGTATATATATGGGCATTAGCAACTGCCTATAATCTATCTATCTATCTATCTATCTATCTATCTATCTATCTATCTATGTATGCTTATTCGCAACGACCTACAATCTATCTATCTATCTATCTATCTAAGACTATTTGCAACTATCTATCTGTATATATATGGTCATTATCAATAGACTATAATCTATCTATCTATCTATCTATCTATCTATCTATCTATCTATCTAAGCCTATTTGCAATGATGTATCTATCTATCTGTAAAAATATATGGTAATTAGCAACTGCCTATAATCTATCTATCTAAGCTTATTTACAACGATCGATCTAACTTTATATATATGGGCATTAGCAACTGCCTATTATCTATCTATCTATCTATCTATCTATGCTTATCCGCAACGACCTACAATATATCTATCTATCTATCTATCTATCTATCTATCTATCTATCTATCTAAGCTTATTAACAACATTCATTCTATCTTTGAATACGCGAATCACTGCGATGATCCGGTGCTTCAGGATTTAAAAGAAAAGACATTTTAATGGAAATTTATTTTCCAAAATAACAATCACAGGACATGAAAAAGGAATTCTTTACAAATATCCTCTTGTCCTCCATTCCGTTGAAAGTAACAAAGTATGGAGACAAGAACGAATGAATTAACGGAAGAGAAGAGTCACGTGGTAAACACCCTAATGGCCGCCTATATTTAATTTTTTTTTACTTCAAACTTTGATACTTAGAACCTCTTTTCTATTCATTCCTGTAATTAAAGGAAATCTTTAGACCTGCAATTTTCAACGGGTGTGCTGCGGTACACTGGTATACCTTGAGGGGATTGCAGGTGAACGAATGAAAATCTTTAAATGTCAATAGTTAAATTATTTCCGAAGGAAGCTCAAAGTTTTAGGTGTGTGTAGGTCAGCACATCTAAATATTACAGAAGAGGAAGAGTTAACAAAAACAAGAGATAACAGAGGATTACAATTAAAATATTCAACAACAGATATTCCGCCATTTTGTGTATCTCTTAAGGGGGAATTTCCAAATATTACAAAAATAAGCAATATAAATATTTGTTTCGTTTTCAACGCCATATTTGTGCGAAGCAAGCTTTTCTGTAATAAACAATATTAAAAATAAAATCGATCACGTCTAGGATCTTTAGCAGAAGATTTAAGAGTATGCCTGTCCAAAATTCGACCTTGCAAAGAAGACAGTCTGAAAAAAGTCCGTACCATATATCTTATTAGATGTTAAACATAATAAAGAGAAAAATATATAATTATAAGTTTTTTTTAAGAATTTTAAATATTATCTTTTTATTACAAATGATAAAAAATCGATTTGTTTGTGTTAATGAATAAATCATAAAAAGTATATCCTTTTTTTTAGTCTTTTTTGATCGTCATGTTTTAAGTCTGCCTCGGATCTTTAACGAAAGGTTCAAGTGTGTCCTGAGATAAAAAATAAAAAAAAGGGTTGAAAAACATTGCTTTAGACTATCGTTAATAGCTTGCATGTCAGGTTTGTCTTAAGATAGCCATAATTAAACGTCGATAATTCATTAAGAAGCTAATAAACATATCGATCAAGAATAAAATAGATGATTTGTGAGGGAAACTTTTAATTGGATTGATGCGTGCACATTAGAATCAAACTTTATTGTCTTTTTTATGTTTCTCTTTAAATGAAAGGAAAAAAAAACTTCCAAAGAACGCGGACTATCTATCTTTAGCCTTATAAAGACTTGCTGACATAAATAACGTTTATACATACATACATACATATATATATATATATATATATATATGTATATATATATATATGCAAATATGTAGAAAAATAGGAAAGAACATGTTAGATAAATAATCCGGGGTTCTTTAGTATTTTTGTTTTTATTTTTAAAAAACAGTGCTCCATACAGAAGTAGAGTCTAAATTATAATTATTTTTAAAAAAAAAAATGATTCCTTCGCTACATAAGAGTTCTCATGCTTCAAAAACAAGAGCCGAAAACCTGAATATAATTATTGAAATTAAATTGAATTAAAGTATCAAGCTCTGTTTCCTCCTCAAGCGAAAATTTACGAATTTATATATATATATATATATATATATATATATATGAAGAAATATAGTCTTAAGATATGCTATATTTATGGGATAAAGTGTTCAATATCAGAGGCAGAGCGTGTGAAATATAAATTGCATCTAGCATGAAACAGACTGCCGCCTCTAAGTGTTGACTTCTATGTTCACTTTTATATTTCTCTCTCTTTCTCTCTCTCTCTCTATATATATATATAGAGAGAGAGAAGAAGATTATATATATATTTATCTCTCTCTCTATATATATATATATATGTATTCTTTTCCTTCGAGATTGATTTGATTATTGGCAAGTCAAAAATTCGAAGGTTTTTTCAAACAGTATAGTTACCTATATATATATATATATATATATATATATATATATATATATTATGAAAGGGACAAAGTCCGAAAATTATTTTAAGACATTTTTAAGTTTATACATTCTTTTTATAGATACAAATATTTCAGTAAATGCTTTGTTTATAATAAACATTCAGGCCGGTAAATGTTTAATACTGTTTATTTTAAACAGAGCATTTACTTAAATATTTGTATCTATAAAAAGAATGTATAAACATAAAAATGTCTTAAAATATATTACTATGTATTATTCACACAAAAAGTAGATGAGTAAAGTTAATGACATAAAATGGCGAAATCCTTTCGAAAACAAAATTTTAAAGTTGCATTAACCTACAAAACACTCGATTAATGTTATGATCCTTGTTTTTAATAATTATAAGCTGTATGAGGTCTTTTTTTTTTTTAATCTGCAAGTACTTTCAACTGTACATTCCGTCATCCTCAGGCATGGAAATTATTTTGTTTTTAGTAAACTCCGGGTAGCATCCGAGAAGAAAAAATTAAATGCGAATCGAAATTTTTTTTTTTTAAATGTGTTATTGTTAACGGATACAAACGTTTGTATATATGTATATATATTTTAAAGTTAAAAAAGAAGCCGCAAACATTTTTGGTTATAATGTGGATTTTTTTTTATATTATACTATATATATATATATATATATATATATATAAAACAAACGGGTTTTTATTATTGCCACACCAGGAAAAAATAGTTTTAAGGCAAGGATCCTAATTTTATTGTTAAAATAGATACAAAAGTTGATAAGCAGTTGATAAGAAAATGTGCGTTATTATTATAGATTATGGAAGGTTTTTTATAAAACAATTGCATCCCAGCCTCAACCTTACCTTATTTAACAACGCCAGTGACATGTTGGTGGTCTTTTAAAAGTTCCCCCATCCTGAAATCACAACCATATTTCTTTCTTAGAATTTCTACTACTTAGAACACCAACATAATCACATTATTTTGATGACATTATTACTAAATAAATTTTCAATTTTGTACAAAATGATGGATTATTCTTCACGAAATTCTTGAAACAGGAAATATCGTTTCCTTGATTCTTATCATTTCTGATCGATATATATTTAAAACACCACTGAGTCTAAAATTCCAGCACCACAATGCCTGACTATTAAAGAACCAAACAAACATTTATTCCAAGTTTAAAATTCCAGTGTTCCTACTTATCACTCGATATATTTTGAAAACATCATTTTCAATCTGGCACTACTCGGCACTTTTTTTTAAAATCTTCCCAACTTTAAAATGCTTATCTCCTGAATTACCATCCTACAAAGTGTGGTAGTTTCCATTTTATCATTGTTGCTTGTTATCAATTCATGCTTCACTGTTTTTATCCATATATTGCGAGTTTAATCACAGTCTTATATTTGGATTACACTGGGGAACACGTGTTTTATTAAATGATAACTGATCCTTGATTCTAGTTAATCTGCACTGAATATGAATTTCAACTCGGTTTAGTGCTATCAGGTCTTGATTCTTGTCAACCATTTTCCGTATTTTTAAAATTAAGATTAAAAAAATCAAGTTATCTGTTAATTTTTTTCACGTTTCATGAATACAAGCAGTTCAAACTATAGTAAAATTGTAACAGTAAAACTGACTTAAAGAAAACATAAAAACAGATATGAAGCTTTCGCTGTGGCAAAACATTTTTTTTACGAAATTAGTTATTTCGTTGATGTGGAAGTGTAAAATTTCCACATATAAAACAAAAAGAATCAGGGTTGCTTTAGCATTTGAACTTTTTAGGACTTGATGACATATTTTTTTATTGTTCTGCCATTTTGCAAAGGTATTTAAAGACATGAAGTTATATAAATTTAAGAAAATCTTAAATATAAACACAATTGGTTTAAATTGGAACTTATTATGAAATAGTTATTTACAATCTATGAAATTAAACTAGAATCACGTATGAGTAGGTACAATATAAATTATGACTAATTAAATCAACTATTAAATCACGATGACAACATTACTCACTAAATCATATGCCAATACAAAATTCTTATTACTCCCTAAATCATATACCGATACAAAATTAAGTTAATGTCCGAATTAACTGACTGATTGATTGATTGAATTAGCTGATTAACTCCGGAAATGAGTCGCTTTTATATATGTTAGTTGTATGACACAGAGAGGATCTAGGAAACACACACACACACACACACACACACACACACACACACACACACACACACACACACACATATATATATATATATATATTATAAATTAATTGATTTAAAATATGTTTTTTTTTTCCGTTACACAGTTCTAACCATTTTCAAAAATCTATAAGAACACCGGATTATATATCTTACTGTTCTTTCTTTATATATATATATATATATATATATATATTTTTTTAGTGAAATTGGAGTAGATTTGAATAGCGAAATTAAATCAGAGCATTTTGATTACTGATGGGGCAATCTGATCTAGTGTACCCATCGAATCTGTGTCATCAGAAGACAATGGAAATGGTCGAAATAATTTTTATCGATTAAAAATTAAAATAGAGCTAAGTAAGCTAGAAGGAACTTTGGAATTCACATGATTTTGGTTGAAGCAGTCATAACCCCGTGATAATCGCGTGCGAAGTAGTAAGGCCGAGGGTCAGCTGTAACCAGCCGGGTTTGTCTATATAAACGCGGAATTATGCTGAAAAAGGAGACTGGAGAAAATTCTTGAAGAGAGAAGAGAGAATTGGCCCGGGCAAGCGTTGGGAGGAGGAACGACACTATAACTTTAAGCCCCGCACAGAAATCTTTATCCCTCTATCGCAAGAGTCATATATCGTTCTGAGACGATTTAACAACAAAATAATCACATACACTCTCTCTCAGTCTAGAATACAGGGTATGAGGGTTTTTTTTACTTTTCTTTTCTTTAACCCGTTTCTCTTCTCTACTATTCTTTTCTGCTATATAAAAGACATTAACAATTCAACCATTGAATCGATGTTTGTCCGGCTTTCTGCAGATATTAATTTTTTTTGTTGCATTCTAAAATTCTTAGCGCAGACTCTCCAGCCGTGTCAACATCTTCAGTCGACCGTGACTGGACGGACATCACTTCTGTTTTCTGGATCAAACAAATCATAACGTGGGCAGGAAGCAGGATTAAACCAGCGGACCGGTTGAATAATCTACGGATGCTCAGGGGACCTATGGCCACTCCCTTAAGTTCCGTTAGGTTACTCAACCCAGAGAGTAAGACGCCGGAGGTTGAGGGGATGGGGCGTAAGAGTTGTCCCTCTAGAATAATCTACAAAAAACAGGAACGCTCGAGAAAATTCTAGAATTCTATGAAAATTTTAGCTTAATCTACTAATATTAAAAAGTAAAAGTATTTTTAGGGTATTACATATAAAAGTATACATAATACAACGACATAACTATAGGTACAAGTACCTCGATAATGACCTACATGTATAATGTAGAACTGCAAAAAGACTTAGCCAGCATTGAGAAAAATCTTTTTATGAATAAGACAAAAGAGGAGAGGCTGACCAAAATGCGGACCTTATAGCGCAAAACCGAGTAAAACTTCGTGATCAGCGAACCCAGATTGCATAGAACTGTCAAATCTAATTTAAAAAAAAAATGAAATTTGTTCTACCAGTAATTGGTGCATTTCATCGAAACTCTCAGAGTCGGCACACTCCTCGACCGCTAGAACCAAGAGCCCTGAATTAGAAACAATTCTCCGACGAGACATGAACTCATATTCCACATTTCAGAATCCTGTCTATCACTAACGCTGCCTTAACAGGTTCGGCTATGAACACAAGTTTGTAGCAGCCTTGCTACCAGTTCCTTCTTGATTCTCCGCATAACCTTTGAGTTGATTTCAAAATCCCATTTCGTGTATTGCGTTCAATTTCGAACTCATCTAGAAACTAGACTGTACCTAGATGGGTGGCCGCTTCGGAACACCAGGCACTGTAAACGTGGATGTGCAGGCGGTGCAATGGATAACGGCCTTCTTGGATTTGAAATCAGAGATCCGAGTTTCAATTCCAGTTGGGTTCGTTATAATCACTTACTCATTTATACCCATGGGAAAGGTATGAATCTATCTCTGTACCACTAGGTATGGGTTAATTAGTAGGAATCGTTCCAGGAAATCATTATTACCTCCAAAAAAGACATTCTTACAATCAAAAAGGATTGACAAGCCGAAGAAAATGAATCCATTTTGAACAAATACCCTAGGGAAATACATGAACCAATTTGGAGTCTGTCTATATTTCTGAGATGAAGTATTATGTACACTATTTACATTATTCGGACTATTGTCCTCATCTTTGTCACCATATTTATCACAACGTTTCAATACTTGGCAATTCACAGATAATAAGGAAAAGGAACCTACGCCCTGAAGGGACATCGCATTCAAAGGTACCATTTATGTACGGTGGTGTAATGAGTAGCGACTCGGATTGAGGAATCGGAGAGCCAGGTTCGAATTCCAGTCAGATCCATTATATTCATTTCCCTTGGGAAAGTTATGGTTCCTCTTCTTCTCCAACAGCTATGGGTAAATAGCAGGACAGGCTGGGTTCTATAGCCTTGGATGGCAATCGGTCTAGGAGAAGGAAAACTCTGAGTTTAAAACCGGCCTGGAGATTCTTCTTAAAGCTATGAACTGAATAGCAGTACAGCTTGAGTTCTTTAGCCTTGGTTGGCAACCAGTCTACCGTAGAAAGATATGGCTGCCTACTGTGTGAAAAATCTTCCTCTTTCTCAGTCACGTATTGAAAGATACATGATCGGCCAGGCGTGTATCACGCGTGGCACTTAACTGACTGATCAAGTAATAGTTTTACGTGTTCGTTTTCTTTTTCAGCCGATCCATTCTTCTTTTCATCTTTATACTTTCGGCGCGTGGCCGAGTTCTTATAAGGTTCCCTTTTCGAAACGAGTTCAAATCTCACTATAGTCGATTTATCAGTAATGTGACTTCTTGATGTTATTAGCATGGGTAGGCGATCCCAGCAAGAGGTACCTTTGAAATATGGCCATTAGCTTTGTGAACTGCTCGTCGTGTTAGCACAAAGTCGCAAGTCAGCGTGACTGAGGGTTTGAAATTACTGATCTTGTTCAGTCTTTTGATACACGATATATTATACGCTCTTCCCACCAGAAACTAAATTCAAAAGACAGGTTTGCTCTGCAGCCGTTGCATAATACACAGAGGTGCTTTATCAGATCTTTGCAGCAGGGATTTGCCAGAAGACAGGTGCATTCGGAAAGCGACTAGTCAGCTACTTATTGCTTTTATACACTTCCACCCTTACTGCTAACCTGGTGAGGATCGAAACCCGAAATCAAGAGACATAGCGTAAAATAATTGTTTCCTCGTCAAAGGTCACTGAACGCTTCAGACACGAGGCAAGCCAGAGAATGATTTCTTGAAAAACAAGGAACGACTTTTCACGACGATCGACTCTTATACGGTTACATACGGATGGTATTCTATGGGGGTTTGATTCCGCAAGGACAGAAAATGGGCTTACGGCTACATCACGCTTAAACACCCGTTCCCTTACAATTGCCGACGTTAAGCAGCGTCGAGCCTGGTCAGTACCTAAATGGGTGACCGCTTGGGAATATCTGATGCTGTAAGCTTGGATGTGCGTGAGGCGTAATGGATAAGTTAAGCAACGTCGAGCCTAGTTTAGATGGGTGACCGCTTGGGAATACCAGGTGTTGTAAACTTGGATATGTATAAAGGTTAATGTATAAGTTAAGCAACGTAGAACCTGGTCAGTACCAATATGGGTGACCGCTTCGTAATACCAGATGCTGTAAGCATAGATGTGCGCGGCGTGTAATGAATAAGTTAAGCAATGTGGAGCCTAGTCAGTGCCTAAATGGGTGACCGTTTGGGAATACCAGGTGCTGTAAGCTTGGATATCCGTGGAGTGTAATGGATGTTAAGCAACGTCGAGCCTAGTCAATAACTAGATGGGTGACCGCTTGGGAATACTAGGTGCTGTAAGTTGGGATATGTATAAGGTTTAATGTATAAGTTAAGCAACGTAGAGCCTGGTCAGTACCTATATGGGTGACCGCTTTATAATACCAGATGCTATAAGCTTGGATGTGCGCGGGATGTAATGGATAAGTTAAGTAACATCGAGCCTGGTCAGTACCTAAATGGGTGACCACTTGGGAATACCAGGTACTGTCTGCTTGGATGTGGGTGGTGTGATGTATAGGAACTCGGTATTGCTAATCGGAGAGCCAAGTTTCAATTCCCGCTGGGTTCGTTATATTCACTTACCCTTGGGAAACGTATGAATCTACCCCTCCCCCCTGCTATGGGTTAATTAGTAAGTCATGTATCCCGAAACTATTATAATCTAACATAAAATAAATTCTAAACAATTTAAAATATCTAAATAATCTAAAAATATCTTCTGGCTTTAAATAACCTGCAATGGGTTGATAAGCGGTAGGACGTGAATCAATCTGTGATGATTTTCTAATCATATCTTACATGTGGCACAAAGCCGAATGCATAGAGCACCCAATGAGGATCGAACTCACTACTCAATTGTAATTGTCGTAGTGAGGCACACATGCTAATCATTACGTCACGTTGGATTTCCTATGAGTAGCTTAGGTGTGGCACAAGGCCGAAAGTGTGGAACACGAAGGGAGGATGGAGCTCAAGTGTAGCTTAGATGGGTGACCACTTAGGAATACCAGATTCTGTAAGCTTGGATGTGCGTGAGCTGTAATGGATAAGTTAAGCAACATCGAGCCTGGCGCAAGGCCGGAAGTATAGGGAACCCAGTGAGGATCGAACTCTCTACTCAGTCGTAATTGTTCTAGCGAGACAAGCTTGCTAACCATTGCACCACGTCGTGGTGCTCTTTCCTATGCGTAGCTTTGATGTGGCACAAGGCCGATTTGATGGGGCACCCAGTGAGCATCGAACTTATTCAGTCGTAATTGTTTTAGCGAAACAAGCTTACTGACTATTACAACACGTCGATGTGCCCTTTACTCTGCGTAGATTAGATGTGGCACAAGGCCGAAATTGTGGAGTGCCCAGTGAGGATCGAATTCTCTATTCAGTCGTAATTGATCTAGCGAGACAAGCTTATTAACCATTACACCACGTTGAGATACCCTTTCCTATGCGTTGCTTAGATGTGGCTCAAGGCCGAAAGTTTGGAGTTGCACAGTGAGGATCGAACTCTCAGTCGTAATTGTTTTAGCGAGACAAGCTTATTAACCATTACACATATCGAATGTCCCCTACCCCCCCCAAAAAAAAATCTGAATCAATCAATGAACGAAAGATGGTGTAGCAGTGATATGAATGCCAAATGAAATCATGAAAAGCGATTAAGCTGATGATGAAAATAGAGTCTCGTTGAGAAAGTATGGAAGATTATGCGTTCTTTATTCAAAGCATTAACGTCATTTTTTTTTTTCGTATTTTCTTTGTCCTTTTTTTAAAATGTAATTATGCGTATTTCCAAGCTAGTAAAAGCCACGCGTGTACAAGTGGAAACTATCCGAATTGTGCTGCTGTAGTATGCGGTCTCCGATAAAGTTTCTACCTCCGTATGCGTCATACAGTTTTTTTTAAAAAAAGTATAATGTTTTAATTGGGAGTCAGGGTCGATTTCAATGGCCGTTTAGATGAGGCCGATAGACGTTTGAAATTAAATAGAAAATTTAAAACTTAAAGTGGTAACAATGAATTTAAAGACAACTTGACTCGACCATGCAAGACGGGGAAACGGTTATTCAGGTGAAAATGTTCTTGAGTATATTTTGCTTGGGGTCAGGTTGTGTTCTCAGATACGTTTCACCAAGAAAGACGTTTGAAATCGAAATAAAAATCGAGTAAACTTCTAACAACGAATTTAAAGACATAACTCGACTCGACCATGCAAGATAGGAAATTCAAAAGTGTGTGCTATGCAGGTCAGAAGGATATATTTTTTGAGGGCATGAATAAGGAGAAATGCATGCAATTTTTGTTATTTATTTTTCCTGTATTTCAAGACGTGATGAGGTTTTGTTTCTTATTTGTAACACTTCAAAATAATGTCTGCGTCAAAAAAAAAGCTACATCATTTTTCCTGGGAATAACAACATTTCAGTATAGTTATTTTTATAGGTTAGTGCCGGGGGCCGACTAATGTGACAGTCATCGACGCAGAAAAATGGAACCAGTGAGCATAGTTCAAATTCTCTCCTCGTCTATTGAGGTTCACTTCACGCTGATACCACTAGGAAAGTTATTAATCCGTTTCTATCGCCACCGGCTATGAATTAAACAGCAGAACAGAGCGGATTTAGGTGGCAGACAGTCTAAAAAAAAGTTGATGTAATGGAATAACTAGACACCTCCATGAATGAGTACACTATAGGTAGTAAGTACCTATAAAGTCAATGACTTCAAGAGACTTGGGGGAAGAGTGAGAGCGAGAAGACGCAAGCACGTCCGACCTTCCAGTTAGTGGCATTCACTACTAGATTGACCTCTGTTTTATAACTGTACTGTATTTTATATTGTACTGGTTGTGTACAATAAACCTTTCTTCTATTATCCACACGGTGTTAAGTATTTATTCCCTTAGCACGGAATATAACAAAAGGGAAACTGAATTTCAAACTGGGGAGAAGTCAACAGGAAACTACTCCGCTATCTTTCCCAAGACACAATGGCAATTCTTATATAATAAAATAAGGCAATTTCTGGAGTAACCTTGCATTGGATGGCAACCACTCTAGGAAAAGGAAAACTCTGAATTCCAAACTACAGAGCAATCAACAGAGAACGGTTCTACTATCTTTCACAAGAAATCATGGCGATTCACAGATGGTAAAAAAAAAAATGAAATCTGTGATGAGTCATGATTGCATACGTCATGAAGGAACATGGGTATTAAAATAAAATCTTCGTTTAAATACCGAGTAACAACTTAAAATGTTTGTTATTTTTTCACGTCGATCGATTTTTTTGTTCTCCTTGAAGTGCAAATTGTTTTTTACGGTAGCAGAGAGGTTGCTTTTACTTACGTGTGTTGACTAATATCAACTTTAGACGTTAGTTAATGAAGAATGCTACCAACGAGTCTAGAAGACGGATTACTCGCACTACGAAACCTCAGAGAAGGTAACGGAAACTACTCCACTATCTTTCCTAAGAAATCATGGCAATTCATAGATAATAAAGCAAGGCAATCTTTGGAGGTTCATGCTCGCTTATATTCTAAAAGAAAATAATAATAAAATCATATTATTATTATTAATATTATTATTATTATTATTAATAATAATAATAGTAATGTTCGATAAATATAGTAATAAAGCAAGGTAATCTTTGGAGGTTCATGCTCGCTTATATTCTGAAAGGAAATAATAATAAAATCATTATTATTATTTTTTATTATTATTATTATTATTATTATTATTAGCAATAATCTCTCTATTAATCACCATAGACATTTCGTTCCTGCCTCGCAATAGAATGTCTGATAGTCAACTCCTTGAGAGCAACTCCCTGCGTCTGTTCGGTCTCACGTTGACTGCTGACCTGAGATGGAACAAATACATTGAGTCAATTGCTTCGTCCACCGCGAGGAAAGTTGGCTCTCTGTGTCGCGCCAGGAAATTTTTCTCCCCGGAATCAATACTTCAAACATACAAATCAACCATTCGCTCTTGCATGGAGTATTGCTGCCATATATGGTCTGAGGTACCTTCTGTTTACCTCGGAGTTCTTGACAAGATCCAGAGACGGATATGTAATATAATTGGCCCTGTTCTGGCATCTCGTCTACAGTTGCTCTCTCACAGACGCGCCGTCGCCTCTCTCTGTCTTTTTTACAAATAATTCCATGGTAATTGCTCCGATGAGCTGCTTTCACTGGTTCCCAGACTCCATGAATTCAAGCGCCCTACGAGGCTGGCATCCCGCTCCCACCCTTACACTATAGAAATTTTTAAATGCAGCCGTCTCTTCTATTCCAATAGCTTCATATCTCGCACCTCTCGCCTGTGGAACACCCTTCCCTATTACTGTTTCCCTGAGAGCTATAATCTCCAACTATTCAAATGTAATGTCAATCGACACCTCCAGTTACCTTGATCTATCCACTACCCCTCTCCTCATCCTTTCTTCTATCACTCCTATCTGCTCTTGCTCCTAATCTTCTGCAACCCCCTGCATCCTAGTGGCTTCACGCCTTGCCCGGGGCGTAATGCTTAAAAAAAAAAAAAATAAATAAAATAATGTAACATCAACGAAGCTTGCAGAAAATTTTATTACAAACAACTATAATTCCGTTAAGTATCTTACGGCCAGTCAGTTATGTGGCATGCGTGATACACGCTTACGCGATCATATATCATTCGATACATGACTGACAAGGCAGATTTTTTCCTGCAGTGGGTTGCCATTTTTTTCTGCGGTAGACCAGTTGTCACCCAAGGCTATAGAACCCGGTCTGTCCTGCTATTTACCCATAGCTGGGAGGAGAAGAAGAGGATTCATACCTTTCCCAAGTGAATGTAATTCATTTGACTGGAATTCGAACTCGGCTCTCAGATTCGTCAATCCGAGCCGCTATCCATTTCTCCACCATGATTTCTCCT